GACTCAAGCACTCTACAGCTGAAGGAGTGTGTCGAGCCCACAGCACAGCAAGCTGTACCTGAGAAGATTTGTAGCATTTGGTATGCTAAGCCATGCAAACAGCAAAATGGACAGCAGCAAGTCAGGATCCAGTGACCCACAGAAAAGCATAGAGACAAAAGATATGGATCAAGACAACAAAAGAGCAGAGCAATGAGAAGGGGTAAAATAAGCTCATTTCCATGTTCTAAACGTTGAAAACAAGTAACTCATTGCCATATAATCCAGCACTGCTAAAATAATCAATGTCAGAGTACATTGTCATTATATGACTGAGACTGAAACGAGGCTTACACAAGCTCAGTCCTTCTCTGGACCAGATAATAATGCAATTAATGCTACAGAATTAATACAAATGAGCTGGCAAAGAGCCAGAAACACCGAGCTTAAGCTGAGCAATATCAGAGGTGTAGAAGAGTACGGCTGCTTGGGACAGCCCAATGATGGCCTCTGGAATTTTAGGGAAATCATTTCGGGAAGGCCGTTTGTCAGGCCTTGGGTTAAGCTTAGGGCAAAAAAAAGAGTTATTCCACTGCAGAACCACTGCATGCAAAAAAAATATATATATATTATGCTCCTGAATGTAGGAAAACCATAGTTTTATGTCAACCTTAGGAGCAAACTTAGCACACACCTGTTCATTTTTTGCAGACTGGGGTAGGACAACAGGGGGAGGTTTACCATTGGAAACCACAGGGGGGAAAGATGTTTCCTGCACCTTTGCACAACATATGTAAATAACCACAAACACACAGACAAACATGCACACACACAGATGGAATTAACATGATAACATGATGATGATGACAATTAAGTTAAAGCTCGAGGTATTTCCTTTTAACTTTAAACTAGATTTTAATTAGAAAACTAGAGCCAACTTCAAGAGACGCTTGTTCAAACTAATTACAATTTTCCAACTAATTCAGTGAGGAAATGGGTAAGGGCAAAAAAGCTGTTCAAGAAAATTGGATCATTAAACACTGTGGTAAAGATTAATGGTTTTAGGCATTGAATTGTCGATGGTGGTTTCAGCAACGATCGAATGCAAATTTCTTCAAAGTAATGAAATAATCAAAATCCCAACCTAATTTTCAGGCGCCACTCCCCAAAAATCTCAAAGTTGCATCTGAAATTAACCCATCAAAAGTTCTATGCCATTGTTCTGTAACTGCAAAAAGCTCAGTTTCTCTACTTCTGTTCCATAGCTGCTGCTATACTTGAAGTTGTGAATCAAAAATTATTTTAAATTCCAATCAAATATTGCTTGTTCTTTTTTTCTAATATATGCACAGGAGAAAGTCAAAGTAAGGCTTTGACAGTCTGGTTTCAATTTCCCCTCTACTGGAAGCTGCTAAAAACTGGAATTAAACAAATTACTAAAGTTGTCAAACCCCAGGTATAATTTAGTTGTTGCTAATGGTAATGGCTGAGGTCTGCCATTGTCAGCAACATAAAAACACCTTTCTGTTGTACAGTCATAGCTCTAGTGAGAGCAGAAATATAAAAATCACTAAACAAAACAAACCTACACTAATGGTTTGTCACACATAAATTTCTAAGATCAGCTAACATCTTGTTCCTGACATTAAAAGCCGAGTCTCTCCCTAGAGCAGTTAAAAACACTATATCCCTCAACAAAAACACCAGGTGCATCTCTCTGAAATCCAATCCCTCACTCTAGGGCCAAATACCCAACTGTTCACCAGATTTCACAGACATCTGCTGATGAAATTTTCAGATGGTAGGCTGACAGACAGAATGCCAGAGACTAAATAACAGGACAAAAACATAACTTTGTCTGAAGTATAAAATGGAACTTGGGATACAAAAAGGTACATCCTTAAAGCAATTTTATTTTCTTTTTAGCAGATTTAAATGTTTACATAACCAATTATTTGTTCTGTAGAAACAAAGACACTCTTCTCTGACAGACTGTTACAAGACAATTAATGCTAACCTCAAAAACATTTAAAAAATTAAAAAAAAATCTTTATTCTTGTTCCCATCTTTAAAAACATTACTAAACATCCCCTCTCACAGTGGTGCACAGCAGAGAGAGCACAGTTTCAACTCCGTCTGCTGAAAGTCACAGTAATGAGATTTAGCTCAGTGCTCCAACTCATCAGACAACTACAGTGCAGGTCATGAGCACACCCTTATACCCACTGATAAATCTGATGATTAGTTTCCATATGTGCACCACTTCCCTCCACTTATTCAAGGCAACAATTAAATCAAGTTATTTGTGGGAATGTATTATACTTTAACTAATTTTGTTTATAACAAAGATTAGCTCAAGTTTGATGAATGCATAACCAAAAAACAATCTATAAGATGTTCATTGAGCTCATTTATGAGAAAATTGGATGAATTAGCAGTGACGACTTAAGTTGTGCTCCACCTAGTGGCTTAGCAGTGATGACTTGAGTTGTGCTCCACCTAGTGGCTAAGTAGCAAACATGCACTTTTCACTCAGTACCTCTGGTTTCGTTACAGCAAGTGGACGAGGTTTTGGGATGAAACCACCAGGAGGGGCCAAGGGATCTGCCTTGGGGACTGGAATGAAACCAGGAGGTCTTATAAGGGGATTCTGTTTTGTGGGCAGTGGGCTTGATTTTCTGGTGGGGATGAAACCTGGTGGTGGAGTCAACACGTTCTGCTTGGGGACTGGGATGAAACCAGGAGGTGGGGCCAAAGGATCAGGTTTGGGTGGAGGGATGAACCCAAGTGGAGGGGTGAGGGGATTAGACTTTATTGGTGGAGTGTTAAGGGCTGCAGTAGTAGGCACAGATGAAACTTCCTCTGTTTTTGTCATAGCAGTCTTTTCTTCAACCTCCTCCACCTTTTCGTTCTCCTCTTCCTGCGTCACAGTGTCTTCCTTGCGGTCCTGGGTGCGGGTGCGAGGCCGATGTTCCTTGGTTCTGCCTCTTCCCATCAGGCTTGTTAGGCCCACTGATATATCATCCTTTTCCACCCCAGCAGCTCCTGTTTTCCTGATCGCAGCGTCTGTAGCAGATGCAGAAACTGCGTGCTGGTTGCGGTCTTCTGTTCCAGCAGGAACCACTCGTCTAACAACTCTTCTGACAACTTTCACCACCTTTTTACCACTAGAACTCTTCTCCTCCCCAGGTGTGTCTGGACCTCCCATACCAGTGTTGTTATTGGCTTCTTCAGCTGGTGATGCGCTTGACTGTGGACCACTTCCTGTGTCCAGACCAATTTCAGGAATTCCCTGAGGTTGACCCTTATCTACATCAGACTGGATTTAAAATTTCACAGAGAATTATTTTTGAAAAGGATTATTTAAACTGCTCACTAAGGTTAGAATCAATCAAGCCAACTCAATTACTCATTTTCATTAAATCTCATAATTACAGT